TGCCCCGGCTAATGCTCTTGAATTGTTGCGTTTGAGCAGCACTGTACATGGTAAATGCCTTGGCTTGCTCTTTGATGGGTACTTTCCCCGACTGATGCTCATGATGCTTGACGAGGGTGCGCTTGAGATGGTGATTGCTGCAGCTGAACCTCATGATGCTTGCTTGGGCAGCGCTGACGATGCTCATGATGCTAGGCTTGGCTGGCAGCTGCCGTGCCTGATGCTCATGATGCTCAAATCGGATGGCGATTAAAGTTGTACCTGCCATGAAGAGTACTCAAGATGTTTCGTTTGAGCAGGACTGGGTGGTACCTGCCGCAGCATCCGCGGCTGATGCTCATGATGCTTGTCTTGGCCGGTGCTTTGGTTGGTACCAGCGACGCCTGATGCGCAAAGTGCCTTGGTGGTAACTGCTGCGGCTGCGGCTCATGATGCTCAACCCCGGTGGCGGTTGAGGTGCTAACTCCTGCGGCAAATAGTCAGATGCTTTGTTTCAGCGGCACGGTGAATAATACTGCCGCGGTTGATGCTCACGATGCTCACCTTGGTCTGGGTTTTGGTTGGTAACAGCCGTGGCTGATGCTGATGACGCTCGGCTTGGCCGGTGCTTTGGTTTGGTGACAGCCACGGCTGATGCTCATGATACTGAGAAAGGGTGGTGTCTGCCGTGGCTGATGCTCATGAAACTCGCCTTGGCCGGCGCTTAGGTTGGCAACAACCCGGCTGTGATGATTCTCGCTTTCGATGGCGCTTGCGGGACTGATGGTCGTGATGCTCGGCTTGTGCGGCGGCTAATGCCCCTAAACCCTAAACCCTAAACCCTAAACCCAAAACCCTGTAGGGCTGGTGCTTTGGTAGGTACCAGGCAGCCTCGGCTGATGCGCATTGATTGAGGTGGTAACTGCCGCGGCTGATGCTCATCAAGCTCGGCTTGGGCGGCGCTTGAAGTTGTGTCTCATGACGGATGCTCATGATGCTTGTGGTGCCGAGGTTATCCGCACCGTCTAAGCTTGTTGTTGTTTGCGTTCTTTTAGGTTACGGAGTTGCGGGTCGAAGGGGCAACCCCCGTCCCAGGACTTCAACATTTGTGCCCTGGTCGCTTCTGGCCGTGCTGTACTCGCAGCGAGCTGCAAAGCACCCGAGCGCCACTTGTCAGACAAAGACTCTTCAGGCTTACTTGTTTCGCACCCAAACCCTAAATCGTGAGTAGATCAGCACAGGCTGGAATGGCGGTGCGGCGCTTTCTTTCCCCGCGTTTCACGGGAAGAACATGCCAGGAACCTCAGTCGATGTATGCGTTAGATGCGTAGTCGGAATCTGGGGTCTCAGGCTTTAGGATTCAGAAATACGACACGGTTTATAACAAAGTGTTATCATGAATTACGAGCGCCATGTTGGTTGCTTGTCATGCTTTCAGCGGGGCATCCAAACTTTGATAAGGTCTCACTAGAAGATATGTGAAGGTTTCCTTTTAAGGTACCTGGGGTGATGAGGTTCCACATGGTTTGTTGAATATATTTCTTTTTTGGGTACAGTACATGCGGTAACGTCGCAGTTCATTTGTACACTTTTCCGGTGCCGAAAAAGGACCTTGCCTAAAGAACGAGGACCCTCCTGTGTACCAGTTTGCGAAGCAGACGTAGCTGGTTCCGTGCGATCGGTATTTGCGGGGTCAGTGTGGTCAGTAATAGTGTCCCGTGATCGCCCCAACGGGAAGCAAACAAGTTCACTCTGATGCACCCCCTAAAAACCCTACTGCAGGGCAATGTAGGTGCCTTAATAATTAGAATAGGGTTTTGAGCTCCTTTATAATATATTTTAGTAAGGAGCCCTAATGAGTACTATTGGTAATTATTGTAGTCTGTTTATGAAAGCCACTACATAAAGTGCCAACGTTCTCGGTGTCCAGGTCCCAGATGGATCTGGAAATGCATCGGCAGCAGCGCACGCAGGCTTTGCTTTGCACACTGCAGTCCTGCACCGCTCACAATAATTAACCCTGAACCCTAAACCCCTAAACCCTGCGCCCTGCACCCTAAGGGTGTTGAAAGGTGCTTCACATTGTTGCAAAGGGATTCAGAGGATGCTTCTGGAAGGTTCGAGATGCAGGGCTCAGGGTTGAGAAGGATAAAGTGTTTAGGGTGGCGCTTGTAGGGCTCCAGGGGTTTAGGTTATAGTTATATAGGGCTTATAAGTTTATGCGGGCATCGGGTTTATGGAGTTTTGTTCGAAGGCTATGCGGCTCTGGGGCTCGAGGGGAAGTCGATCAATGGTTTTTGAGTCTCAATCTGAAGCCCTTTCTTACAGAACTTTCACATAACCTCTAGCTAAAGATCTCTCAACGAACCGAAAACCCTAGACCCTAAACCCTAAACCCTTCAAGATCTCTTAAACTAACCGAAAACTCTGGCCCCAAATCGTCTCCATGAAGGCTCCGCCACCGCTCCACGAGCAAAAGTTGCGACCAGAGGCGACGCAGACACGCGGGAGTAGAGTGTTGAGGGTTTAGGCTTAAGAGTTCCGGGTTTTCGACTTCCCGGCTTAGAGTTTAGAGTTGAATTTGGCTTAAACTGGGGTGCGAGCATTTTTTTGTCGTTGCCTTTTCATTTGCTATGTACGAAGTTGTGGGATAACAATCACACACGCACACAAACACATATGTATATATATATATATGTATATATACACATGTGTGTGAGCTCTTCTATATATATATATATATATATATATGTACACACGCACACATACACACATTGAGGGTTCAGGTTCGACAGCTTGCATATGATACTTGTTGTTTTAGGTGTTACGGCCCATTTGCCGTAAGAGCTCTCAGATTTCCTAAACCCTAAACCCTAAACCCTAAACCCTAAACCCTAAACCCTAAACGGTTCTGGGCAGTAGTGAAGAGATGGTCTTCTTGCAAGACGGATGGTGTGGGGTAAGTGGGGGCGGGACTTATCACCAGGCGCTACGGTTGACTACAGAAATATAGGGGCCCAAATTATCAAGACTATTTGAGGGGTTCCTCATTATAGTCACAGTATAATATACCCCCAAACCCTATTCCAATTATTGAGGTCCCTATATTATCCCCATTGCACATGCTCAAACTCGAAGCTTAAGCCAGAAGCTGCTTAAGCCCCTTCCCGGGGAGATGTTCATGCTTGCTACACTTCGGTTCCAACGTACCCATTGGCCCCATGGTACTTCGTTTTGGGGATTACCTTATAGGATTCTCACTATGAACCCCAAAAAAGGAACTACTATGGGGCCTATGGGTAATTATGTGTGTCTGCAGACTCCAGCTCGGTATCTGGAGTTCAGTTTAGACTTGAGGGCCTGTAGGGTTTTCCACAACGGCTTAGGGTTTAGGCTTTAGGGTGCTGCATCAAAGCAAGTGGCCCTGGCTTGTCTTGGCATACCGGTGTCTTGGAACGATCGCTATTCGTAGTCCTGAAGCCTGAAATCTTGCCGCCGCGTCCTTAACACGTTCATCTCGGGCTTTTAGATCTTAGACTTTGTTGGCGATCTGAACCGGTGTAACCCCTATACTGCCCTATACAGCGTTGCAGTCCAAGGCCAGCGCGACATATCCAGGCAAGGCAGAGAGGGTTTTACTGGAGTTTCCGAAAGTCAGTGACCCGTATGGAGTACCTTCGAGGCCGCGCCAGCAAGGCTCCTTCTAGAAGCACAATCAAGAATGTAATCTCCGCCTGTCAAAAGCTTCAATCTTAAATTCTAAACCCTAAACCCTAAACCCCTAAACCTTAAACCCTTGACCTTATGCGCCCTAAACCCCAACGCCATCGGACCCTGACTCCGAGGGAGGGTTTAGGGCTTGAGGAGTTTAGGGTTTAGGGCTTTAGGGCTTTAGGGGTTTAGGGTTTGGGGTGTAGGGGTTTTGGATGCAGGGTTTTAGTGGTAAAAGTAGCAGTAGCAGCAGCAACAACAAGGACAGTAATGATACTTCGGACGGCAGATGTGTAATACTAGCAATTCAAACAACAGTGCGAATGCAGGTTGTATCATCATCACTCTAACTATCACATTGTAATAGTTCATGCTTGTAACAAGCATGATGATGTAATGCTCCTAAACCCTGAAGCCCTAAACCCAAAACCCTAGACCGTTAAACCCTAAACCCCAAAACCCGAAACCCTTAAACGATCGGGCACGACGTGGTTAATCGTACCCTTGGATATCCCAAAGCATCCCAGCTCCGAAAGTCTACAACCCAGTAACCCTGGTTTTCTTACGGTTTCAAAATCGGGACGCCGACTCGCCGCCGGTTTAGGGTTTAGGGTTTAGGGCTTTATACCTCTCCAACGTAGTTGGAGGTTTGGTGTACCATTGCGGCTTGGGGCAAGCGTCCGTGCCAAGCCCCTGAACCCTAAATCCCAAGCCCCCCAAACCCTACAGTAAATCCCAAAAAGTTGGAAACCGGATTAAGGACAAATAGTGCTGGGATTCGTTATGCTTTGCTCTTCAGGATTGAGGCTATGGGGTTTCCAACTTTTGGGCTTCTACTATAAACCCTAATGGAAAGAGAATCGAAGACGAGAGGTTTCGCATGTAGAAGGCCCCGTGGGCTCACCCACCCTTGTGAGATACTAGAGGGGCCTAAATAACTGCCTATACTATTTTTTGGGGGTTCCTTATTATAGTATAACATACCCCAAAACCCTATCCCAATTATTACAGCCCCGACATTAGCCTCCTTGCAATAGGGCCGCCTTATCGTTGACCTTTTCGGGCGCATAGCTCTGCAGCAGGTGTTGTATCCTAACTGCGACAGGAAGGGTCCGTAGGTCCTAACTATCCTAATGAAATTCACACGATATTGCGTAGTATAGTATGATATGCTAAAAGCCCGAAGCTCCAAACCCAAAGCCCTCCAAGCCTTGACTTGTAGGACCCTTGCTGGCTCCTTATGCTTACTGCTTAAAAAGGGCCCGTGTAGAACACTTCTTAACCAGCCCCCCCCCCATATGTATGTATATATATATGTATATACATATGTATATATATATATACATGTGTATATACATATATATATATATATATATATATATCCCTAGAAACCTGCAATGCAGGCCGAAGTCGTCGCAGCAAGTGGGATGTGGGACCTGCTGTGGGGGTCCCCAGTCGGCGGTACGTTTTTTTTTGGGTGGTAAGACAAAGGTTGATGAGGGGTTTGAGGGTTTGTGTGGGTTTAGGGTTTAGGCATGTGTGTTTTTGTACAAGTCTTCCAGGCGATGTGCGTGATTCCCCGGTCTCAGGGCTTAGCTTTCTTTTTTTGCGCGGGTTCTGGATATTTCCCCAAACCCGGCCAAACCCTAAACCCCTAAACCCAAAACCCCCAAAACCCAAAACCCTAAACCCTAAACCGGCGAAGAAGACTTTGCACTTGAACGCGAGGGCGCGCACCGCGTTCCTGCAGGGCTGCCAGTCTCAGACCAAGGCTCTAACGAAGGTGGTGCAGCAAACGAAAGGAACTCTGCGGCCTTAGGGTTTAGGGTTTAGGGTTTAGGGTTTAGGGCAGCAAACGAAAGGAACTCTGCGGCCACAAGGCAAAAAGCTATTCAGTGCCTCAAAAAAAAAAGAGGTGCCTGAAGGACGAAATGATCCCGAAAACGGTTTAGGGTTCATATACCATATAGAGATTCATAGTATAAGGAAATAGGGCCCCTACTTTTAAGGGTCATTTCGTCCTTAAGCTGAACACAATTTCTGTCCTTGGGGTGCTGTCGTGGTTTGCGCTGCACGGGCCAGCAACGATGCGAAGCCAGCTCAGTCCAACTCCAGCTGAGCGACATGTTGGGACGCAACCGCCGCGCCACGGAGAAATGGCTTGACCGGGAAAAGCGCACGATGCGGAAGGACCGTGTGCTGCTCATCCGAAACACAGCAGTGTCGTGGAGCTTAGGAGCAATCTGTCCACCTCAAACTTTCCACCTTAAAAATCCACTGCTGTGAAGCCGAGTAGTCGTGCAAATTGGAGGGCTGGTAGGATTTTATGAGCGTGTTATGCGTTCTTATATGGTTTTTTATAGGGTTTAGGCTATTCGTTCGTTTGGGGCTTACAGAGCAAGTCTGACATTGTTGTTGACTGTGTTTCGTATTTCGTATGTACTGATGCAGGCAGTACAGGTGTTTAGTCTCCTCAGTTGCGTTTGAGCAGTCCTACAGCACAGCTTCGCAGTCTTTTTGGTTTAGCGTTTAGGTCCAGATGCTAAACGACCCAAGGAAATGTGCCCCCGGGCACTTGGTCAACGTGGCTATCGGGTTCCTTGCAGAACCCCAACAACAACCAATACACCATCCTTAATGTAGGGGCCTTTATAATTAGAATAGGGTTTTGGAGGTTCTTTACTATAATTAAATATAGTAAAAAAATACCCAAACCCCTATTCGAATTATCAAGGCCCCTGTATTACACAATCTGTATATGCCAAGCCTGCAAAGAGACCCTAGGAAGCCCCATAAGACCCTAACCCCGAACCCTGGGTTTAGGGTTTAGGGTTTAGGGTTTAGGGTTTAGGGTTTAGGGTTTAGGGTTTAGAGTCCCAAAACCCTAAACCCTAAACCCTTCGTGACGAAGCTGAGCTCAGATGTAGAGCCCTGGCGAACCCATTAAATTAAACCATGCCGACTGGAAGTTGAGGGTTTCAGGATGGTATAGGGCTTAGGGTATAGGGCTTAGGACCTGTGGGTTTAGGGTTTAGGGTATAAGGCTTAGGGTATAGGGTTTCGGGTGTGGGGGCTTAGGGGTTTAGGGGTTTAAGGTTTAGGGGTTTAGGGTTTAGGGGTTTAGGGGCTTAGGTGTTTAGGATTTTAGGGTTTAGGTTCAGGGTTTTGGTTTAGGACCTATATTAGCCCGAAGACCCTAGCACTTCTAGAACATCTCTCATTGTGTCCATTAAAGAAAAGACACCTTCAATCGAGGATCGGTCGCGGAGCCCTCGCCGAGAGGACAACCTTCCCAAATAGCCCTTAATAGTCAAGGAGGGTTCAGGGTTTGTTAGATACCCCAGACCGTGAAACCTGTAAACTCCCCCCACCCTAAACCCTAAACCCTAAACCCTAAACCCTAATGTAATCGTTCAGATTCATGGGCTTGGGCTCCAGAGTTCTCCCATGTAAGTCTCCCAGCTATGCGCCTGCGTTACGTGGGTCGGTTTAGGGTTTAGGGTTTAGGGTTTAGGGTTTAGGGCCCTGAATGGATCATGGGGAGAGTGTTAAGGCCAAGCGTAAGACCTGTTTATGGGCTAGAGATGTACCTGTGGCTTAAGTCCGCAACAGAGCAATAAGGAAGAGATTGGGTGTAAGATTTTAGATGCCCCAGGGTTTAGCGTTTAGGGCATAGTGAGCGATCCCTCGGGTTGAGGGTTTAGGATTTATGGTGCATGGTCGAAAGGTTTTAGCTTACGTCGCATGGGCAAAGCCACCTCAGACCAACATAGACCACGACGGACTTGTATGGCAAAACTAAATCTACAAACCCGAAACGGTAATAGTAGTGGCCTGCGTTGTCTCTTGATTAAGGAGTCTCCTATGGAAGGCGGTTCAGGTTTCACATGCTCGATTTGAGTTTATCTGTTTTGGGCTGGGGGGTTTCGTGTGTTTCGGGTTTGGGGTATAGTTGAGCCCTTGACCCTAAACCGTTGAACCCTAAACCCAGAACCGTTATAGTTGAGGTTAGGGCTTAGCGGATGAAGATTGCCGGTTCGCTCGGGTTTTATGGCGATAGTTTGAGGCTCAGGCTTCGGAGGAGATTGGAAAACTGGGGCCGACATGGGGACATAGGAAGCTTCGATCAAAGTTTCGCGATCCTGTAATAGTTAGGGCCTCTGGGTGGAGAAAGGCTCTCTCATCTTCTGAAGTTCCATGTACTGTTTATCTCAAAAAAACTTTAGCCCGGAACAATTTGCCTGAAGAAGGCCTTGATTCCGAGATCCCGAAGCCAAACCCTCAAAGATGTACGCCCTGCATCCTAAACCTTACACCCTAAACCCTGAAACCCTAAACCTCCCAATCCTGTCCTGGGCGATATTCGCAAACTTTCTGTTTCCAGGGGTCGGTCCTCTTTAGAAAGATCCGGGTTTAGGGTTAAGGGGAAAAGCCCTAGAGTTTAGGGTTTAGGGGTTCAGGGTTTCGGGGAAAAGCCCTAGGGTTTAGGGGTTCGGACCCTAAACCCTAAACCCTCAACCCTAGAAGCCCTAAACCCTAAAACCCTCGCGGTTCTTGAGCACACTCTGCGAAGGATCGAAGAGATGCAAACCCAGACTTCGGATCCTCGAAAAACAGTACTTAAGGTTTAGGGTTCAGGGTTAGAATATTTCATATTATTCAAGAATAGTGTTCAACATGTTTTGAAATCTTAGAAATATATTATTTTCAATATCTAAATCACATATATTAAACATTAAATTTAGATATGATTTTTGAGAAAACGATAGCCTTGTGGAAAGATCTAGAGATATCTCTATATTTGGATTGATTTTGAAACCTATCTAGTTTATTGATTATTGATTTAATTGATGATCTTATATAAATATAAGAATTCTTATTATTCTATATAGAAAAGAAATAGAATTGAATTCTATTATAGAGAAGACAATAACATATTTTGTAGTTTCTCGAATTATATAATGACTAATATGATATTTCTTGAAAGAAATTAACTAATATAAATTGTTTTGCAAATATAGTAGAAGCTAGAAAGTTGAAATATAGGTTTAGGAGAATTAGTGCTAGGACCCTTTATATTTTACTTTAAGGGCATAAGGGTAATCATGTTCCAAATTTTAGACTTCTATTGTATATTTTGATGAATTTGAAAAATTATAAGCTTAGATTTGTTATATTATAAGATAAGATTTTCTATAATATTGATAATTCTAAATGGACATAGAAGAAGTCATATTTCGATAATATAAAAATAGATATTTATATTATATTATTATAAATATCGATAAGCCTGAATTCATTTTTTAAGGGCAAATACATGAATATATATATAATTAAAAGCCGTCTAGGATCGACCCAAACGATTTAATTATTTATTTTCTTAAAATTGTTTTAAAATAGAAATTAATTTAAATTTCAATTATTTATTATAGTTTAAATGAAGTGGCGGAAGAAGGAGAGGATATTTCATTTCATACTACCCTGCCCCCCAACCACTCCCTCTGCCCACTCCTCATAAGTCAATCGCAGCAAAGTTCGCCCAAGAATCGGTTGGCAAAATCTGCTGCGATCGTATGAATTTCGCCCAAGAATCGGTTGGCAAAACCTGTTGCGATCGGGGTTCTTGATTCAAAATATAGCTACGATTACATCAATCGTGGCAAATATTCCCCAAGAATCGGTGGGCAAAATTTGTTGTGATTGGTTCTTTCCTGATTTAAAATATAACCACGAATATGTCACTTGCAGCAAATTTCGCAAGCGAATCGGTTGGCGAAATTTGCTGTGATTGGGTATTTGTTTATTTAGATGAAACCACGACTAAGTCAATCGTAGCAAACGTTGTAACGAATCGGTTGGCGAAATTTGCAGCGGTTGGTATTTTGTTGATTTATATATAACCACGAATATGTCAATCGTAGCAATTTTATTCAAGAATCTGTGTCGGTGGATTTCCTACTGCGATGCCCGCAGAGCTGCCTCAATGTAAATGGGGTGCGGAACTCAGATGATTTAGAGTTGAGGTTCAGGGCCAAGGGTTGGATTAGGAAGCAGAGGTACGTTGTAAGGGTTTGGGATTTCGGGTCAGTTAGACCGAAAGATACCAGTTAAACCCAAAATACTAGTTCTTAACCATTGAAATTCTAAGTTTAAACCAAAAATCAAAATTCTCAAATTAGTATCCTGAATCTTAGTTTCTCTAAATATTGAGACGTTTGTGGATCGACCTTATCAAGAATTTTAGTAATTATTCTGAATATGAATTTCTTAGAACTAATTATAGAATATATTCGAAAAGAAAATAAATATCTATGATTTGATATATATATGATGATTTTGATATTATCATATTATTAGAAATTTTTTCTCTTCTATCCTATAATCTCATTCGAAAATTTCTATAATTCTATATTCAAATATCAATTCAATAAAAAAATATAAAATCAAAACTATGCAATATTTTTAAAGAAAATATCGATAGATTTAAAATTAGAGAAAATAGAGTTAAATCATGAAAATATATATTAATAATATAATAATAATGATATATATATATAATATTTATTATTTTTTCGATTTTCTATAATTATAATA